GGGGGGGGGGGGGGGGGGGCAGATCGGAGCCTGCCATCCGCAACAGGGTCACCTGTTACCCAGAAGGGCAGCCCCGACTGCAATTCCACCCCCGACCCCTCCCGCCATCCCACCCCAAAGATCCCCAGGGCTTGTGGGACAAAATAGACAGAACACGGCACCATTTCGGGTTGTTTTTTTTTCCAAGTAGGAGGCTCAGAAGTGGGTGAGGAGCTCGTCAGGTGTGTCTGCGGCACACTGTGGAGACCTCACATCTCAGCCCCTCCACGGGAAGCCTGGCAGCCTCCGCACCAGGTCATAGCCCCACAGGGAGGAAGCAAAAATCAACAGCATCTCCATAAACGTAATCAGACCAGGCCTGACTGTGGCCAGTGACAAGCTAAGCTTATATATATCAAATTCTTTTACAGTCCACTCATTCATGTATTCAACTAGCCTTCACTCTGTGGCTACAACTTGGCAGGCAGTAAGAGGCAAAGATTCATTCCTTCTTCATTTAATAATTATTTATCTGGTGTCTGCTGTGTGTCAGACACCTACCAGGGGTCCTCTTTGATCTGGAGAGATGGGGCCTCAAAGCTCCCTGTCAGGAGGGTGGTAAGCACCTCAACAAACCTTCACAATCAGAACAGGAAAGCAGGGAAGCACCAGGTGGTATGGGAGAATGGGGGGCAGGGGGTGGGGAGCACTGGTCTGGATAGAAAGCCCCAGAAGTCCCTCATGAACTGAGCAATAGACAGGACAGACTTTTAAGCATTCACTACACGAGTCTTTATGGAGCACCTATCGTGTGGCAAAGCAGCTGTGAGGGCATTTAAAGTACCAAGCTACAGCCCCAGATTCAGACAGTGATGCCGTTAAAAGAAGAAGTCAAGTCAGCTCAGGGAGGTGATGTGGAATTTGCTTTTGGTTTTAAAATGGGAGTTTCAGGCACCTGGGGACTTCCTAATGGTGCCACTTGGGCCACAGACTGCTTTCTACCAGACAGTAAAGATTATCTGGTTGATCGGTGTCCACTCCCCTGACCCTGGATGGCTCCCCAGGGTGGGGCCCACAGAATGATCATCTGTGCAGCCCCATACCACCCAGCCTGGAGCTGCAGCAACACCCACACTAAGCTCCGGGCAGTGGCTTGATGGGTGAATGCCCTGAAATAAATGCAGACAGAAGCTCGGGCTGCATCTTGGAAAAAAACAAGGAGACTCGGAGGTGAGAGTCTACTGGGCGTCCCAATGCCACAGGTGAGGATACAATCACTAAAGGTGATATTAGAGGTAACCAGAGCTCACTCTGGGTGGTAAGGAAAGCTGGAGAAGGAAGGTCAGAGGTGACAACAGCACCAGGCAGGTGCAGAGTCCTCAGACGTGACTGGATGGTGAGTGGGAAGGAGAGGATGGTCAGTTCCCAGTGAGTGACGCCACAGAGAGCTCAAACTGGAAGAAAGCGGCTGGGGCTCTTGAAGGGAGCATATCAGTGGAGCAGGGCAGAGGGCAGACCTGGGAAGGCCCAAGAGGTGGGCGGGGCTAAAGGAAGCCGCCACTTCCTTCTCTTTGGGGAAGTTTGGCTAGGATGAGGAGGACAGGCTGAATTCAGAGAATGTGGTATTTAGAATAGGAGAGATCGGAGCATGCTGGGTCAACAGAGCCAGGAACAACTGGGAGAGACAAAGAAGAGTTCAGGGCTGGGTGGCAGAAGATCTGGTGGCCGAAGGTCACAGAGCTGAGCTCTGGAAGAATGCCAGGCTCCTGGACTGAGGAAGACAACTTGGAGGAAGCTCCTGGGTACAGTGTTACTGGACTATGGTCCACAGGACAGGGCAGACACTAATTCAAATATGTGCACAGGATCCCACTGAGGAAAATGGATGTGGACCAGTGTGGAGTGGAAGGAACCAGGGGGAACAGCCAGATGTCCTTTGCTCCAGATTGCTTGGCATGGAGCTGGGCACACGACCAACGCTGAGGACCAGCTGCAACGGGCAAGGAGGGAGAGAGGCTCCACCTACATGCCAAAGCCACCGGATAGGTGAGATGGGCATTGAAGGTCGATTCCACGGGTGAGGGAGAAGACTTTTAAGGAGATCCTCTAAGTCTGAGGGGTGGGGACAGGAGGAGACAATATTGCTGTGGCTTTCTGGAAGGGAAGTCAGAGGAGCAGCCAGGAAGATATCAGGAAGAAAGAGGAAGGGTGTGTGCAAGATCCTAAAGAGGAAAAAGCAGCTGAATTTAGCAGCCAGAAGGGTGGGAAGGTCAAAAGTATCCAGGACTCAAATAAGCCCAAGGCTGGGGCTTCTACCAACTTAGGACTCACGGGGTGGGGTAATGGGGACAAGTAGTGGAGTGGCTATGACCAAAAACTGGTTCAGACCCAGCTTGGCCACTTGGTAGATGTGTGACCTTGGGAGAATTACTTTGCCTCTCCATGTCTTACTATGTCCATCTGAAAATGGGGAGAATTCCACCTTATAGGGTTGGTATGAGAATTAGACAAAGCATATATAAAGTGTTCAGAACAATACTGGCATATACAAGGAACTGAAAATCTTTATTTTTCAGTGATCTCCCTCTCTCCAGGGATGAGTGAATGCAGGGGGGCTGGCTTGGAGAGAGGAACAGATTTGGTAGTAGAGTGCAGCCCCCGCTGCCCCCAGACCAGAGATATTGCAATGATTGAGGGACAGATTTGACAACTGCCCAGATACTGCTGCTGGGGAGGGCTTAGTCTCTCTGGGGGAAAAGGTCAGGAAGGTTGGACAGAGGCTGGGCCCTCCCCTGCACACAGTCACAGGTCCTGGGTTTTCCAGGACAACACAGACTTCAAAACCTCAGCTCCATAAGGACAGCAGAACTCATCACCCTATGTCCCTAAAGTCCAGTCACTGCAAATACAGCCCCATTCTGAGGCTGCATTCCTTGCAAATGACTCTCTCTGGCCAAGGAGACAGCTACTTTATCAAGGGCATGGGGAGTGTGCCTGGGCAAGGAGAGGTGCTCACTCAGCCTCAGGGCTGGGGAAGGTGAAAGGTCAGGGACAGCTGACCCACAACCTTGAGACAGATACGTTGGGGACTGGGGGAGTACGTTGGGGACTGGGGGAGTACTTGAGAATTTAAATACAGCTTCCTCTTTAAAATCTTCCAGGACCAGGCCCTTCACTGCGCCAGAGTTCTGCTCTAACTCACAACAGGGGGTTGAAGGAGGTGGCTTCTGGCTTGCTCTCCCTACTGGGATCCCCTAGGCTGCTGCTGTCAGTGGCTCAATTCCCTACTGCCCAGGAGGGCACTGGCCCAGGCCCTCCTGCCAACCTCAGGCTGGCCTGCCCTCCCCCTGCCCTTCCAGGGGGAAAGCGAACTGCCCAGGGAACGTACATGGTGGGAGGGCTGGAAACTGTAGCCTTCAAGAAATCCTTGGGGGTACAGGAGGATCTCTGTAAAGGGAGGGGGGTGCGCGGACGGGACACGCGGTTCCCGCCGTAGGTTCCGGCTCTCCTGGGCCAAAGAGACTGGAAGGGCGGCGGGGGAGGGGGGG